GCTCTACATTGTGTTGCTTGCCTTGATGAATGCAGGAATGTAAATGCATGAGCTAACCATTTTTGTCTAAACTGTGAAGCAGCATTATATATGCATCATGTGCATGATTTTTCCATATATGGTATTAGTGGAAATATGCTTTTAGAGACTTGTTGGTTGATAAATACGCTTTGCTGTGTAAAAATCACACGCACCTAGTGCGTGCGTGTGTTTAGGTTAGTAAATCACCCCCAAAGACTTGTATTTTGAGAATGAGTAGTAAAGCACAATCACTATGTTGCACTGCAAAGCAGGGAGCAGAGCCTGTTCAAATATGCCTCACCCTATCTGCAGTTGTATCTACAATTTACCATACATACATACATACATTTACCATAATGTATTTACCATACATTAAAAATGTCTTTATATTTTTACCTCAAGCTTATCTTTATTTTCTTTATCTAAAAAGCATTACAAAAAGACTTTACATACTATACTTTTGAGGAGTAGGAACGTTAATGAATGACCATAACTTAAAGGAGTTTTACTACTTCACATGTGTTCTATAATGCCAGTCCAGTTGCAGGTACAATTCGGCATTGCAGTTCATCAATTCAAATATAATAGTGTTCTATGATTGTGTTTAGATATAGAGGGGATATATATGTGTGTGTGTGTGTGTGTGTGTGTGTGTGTGTGTGTGTGTGTGTGTATATACATATATATATATATATACACATAGACACACATATACCTATCCCCCGTGAATACTAACAGTAAATTACATTTCCATTGATTGAAACTAGTAGTGAAGTTATTTTTCCTCTTTGGGAAATATCTGGGGCACTGATCACTTCTGATGCTCATGCATGCTTTCTGAGCTTGCAAAGATGATTCTGTACCACCAGAATAGTATAACAAAAGCTTCAATTAGATGCTTTGCTTTGGAAAATCTGAAGGTGCCCATACACCTTTGGTCCTCAGAATAATGCAAACGAGTTACATGGAAAAAAACCTCATATGTTTCTCATACAAATTACAGCATTAATATATTCTTTAAGCAGTAATACTTGAATGTATTGTATACAGTTGGTGGAACCGTTAACCCCAAGTGGAGCCATGCCTAACCAGGCACAGATGAGGATTCTCAAGGAGACAGAGTTGAAGAAAATGAAAATCCTGGGGTCTGGTGCTTTTGGCACTGTGTATAAGGTGAGAACCATTAATGCAACAAGGTCCCCCAGGTTGGCGTTAAAACCATTCTACTTGGGGAAGGTGGAGAGGTGGGGTTGGGGGCAGTTCAGCAATATATACAGTTCTCACTCAACTCTTCAAAAAAATCTGATGAGTACTTTAGCACTAACTTGGTATACTGAACCATGATCCCGGTATATTTTCATTGAACTCCAGCTGGAAAGAAACACAATTAGGCCTAATTTGCAAAGCTAACACAAGCAGGATAAGGATCCTTATTTTTTTTTTCAAATGACAAGTTATTTCAACTGAGTCAAATAAAATTTTAAAATTATGGTTGATTAGCTAAAATATAGATCCTTATCCTTGTGTTAAATGTTTTTAAAATGAGCCTCTAAAAATCATGCACAAAAATGAAAAATTGTGGACCTTTTTGTAAGCATACACAACGTCTGCATTTGTGTATTATTAGCCTTCCTGGTTTTAGAAGGAGAGACATGATTGTTAAAGTAGACCTGAACTCATAAAGTTAATTTGTAAACTTTTAGGGAACGGCTAGACATTTTAATTGCTCATAGCTGTATTTCTGCACTGTGAAAAGTACTGCTGCTTCTGACTGCTAGTCTTGCGACATTTGAAGTGACATTTGGGGATGTCACTACTGTGCTGCTCACTGTTCTCCTTGCTGGAGAAGAACATGTACTTGAGGATTTACAGTGCAAGGATCTTGCAATTCTGCTTCATTTATTCTGTGGATATGTGTTTTCTCCACTTCTCCTTCTCCTGATATACTGAATAATGCAAGTCAAGGTTGCTAACATTTTCATGTTTCTTTTATTTTAGGGTATCTGGATCCCAGATGGAGAGGACATTAAAATCCAGGTTGCCATCAAAGTTTTGCGAGAAAACACTTCTCCGAAAGCCAACAAAGAAATCCTGGATGTAAGTGTTATATATATGTGTGTGTGCGTGTGTATATATATATGTGTATGTATATATGTGTAT